GACCTTACATTGAGAAGGCATTGAAAGACCTCGGTACAGGTAATGTTAAGATGTTGAGGAATATTAAACTGGAGCACAGCGATTTCTAGAATGTTTCGTTTGAAGGGTCTTTGGAGCAGACCAGTGCCGAGGTTGGGACCGACGTCGATAAAGAAAGTCAAGAAGAAGAAGGGAAACCTGCGAGCAAAGAAGTAAGAAAGAGTATTTTTCTCGAAAAATTACAAGTTAATTTCAATTGGGTTAAAATACATTTAAAAATTTTAACATTTTGTATATCGATAATTGGATGTACATTAAAAAATAGGAGCCAGAAACTGAAGCTTCGAAGGAAGACGCAGAAGAGTCGGTAGAAACCAGAGCTGAGGAAAGCGTCGAACAAGCTGAAGAAGAGGCAGAAAAAGCATCCGCGGAAGCTGAACAGAGCATTGAAAAAGAACAAAGTGCCGAAGCGGATGAAACGAAAGGTGATAAGAAATAAAGGATAATTTTATTAATTTATTATACGAAAAATATCTTTTGAACTTGATTCAAATTGAAATATAAATAACATTAATTCCTAACACTTCTTGTCTTCCTTTCTCTAACAAAACTTAGGCAAGAGTGTTATTATTTCATTAGGTGAAGAAGAAGAGAAATCTGGAGAAGTAGATAAAGGAGCCGAGGAAGAAAAGGAAGAATCTGCCGAGCAAGCGGAAGAGCATGCTACGGATTCCGGCCAGGAAGAAACTGAAGAGACGAAGGAGGAGAAATCTGGCGAAGGAGCGCAAGCGGACGAAGGAAAATCCGAGGAAGAAACGCGAGGAGATGCTGAAAAATCCAAAGAGGAAGATGCCGATAAATCCGATATAGAAATTGGAGAGGACGAAGGGAAATCCGACGAAAAGTCGCAGGCTGACGATGGAAAATCCGACGAAGCCCAGGCCGATGGAGAATCGGCCGAAGAACCGAAAATCGACGAGGAGAAATCCGACGAAGAAGCCAAAACCGAGGAAATAAAGTCTGACGAAGAGAAAGAGAGAATCGAAGACGAGGCGACTGATTCGAAGGCGGAAGAAGAGACGGAGAAAGTTGCTTCTAAGGAGGAGGATGAAAAGGAGGGGGATAGCAAGGCGGAAGAGGAGGGTCAATCCGCAGAGCAACAAGCGAGCGAGGACGAAACGAAGGAAGAGAACAAAGAAAGTGTCGAGGATCAAATAGAAGGAACTAAAGAAAGCGAAGAAGCTAAGTCGGCGGAAGAGACTGCAAAATCGGCAGAGCAACAGGAAGAAGGAACTGAAGAAGAGAAGGAAGGAGAAGAGAAAGAAGGGGACAAATCCGCGGATGTGGAAGGAAAATCCGTAGAAGAGGCAGAATCAAAGGAGGAAGAAGCTGAGAAATCAAAATCTCGTGCTAGACGAGAAGCTGGCGAAGAAGAAGGAGGAGGAGGTGAGGAGGATGCTGAAGGCTCGAAAGAAAGAGAGCAAAGCGAGGAAGAAGAACCTACTCCCGAGGAAGACTTGATCAGAGAAATAGTGATACCGGAAAATTTGCGGCCGCGTGAACATATTAATCAGCTGTTGAAATTGGACGAGGAAAATGAAGAGAAGGAGCGAGCCATCCAGAAAATCGCGGATATTGTGTTGAAGGAGCTGAAGAGGGTATATGACAATGCCATCCAGCCATTAGAATCTCTGTATAAATACAGAGACTTGAGCAACAGACACTTTGGTGGTAAGCATTAAATTAATAATTGATGTTTTTTTTTTTT